TAAAACAAAACTATAAATGTACTAAAGAGAAAATATAAGAGACTATCAATATAATTTTAAAATGGGCATAGCTTTCCTAGCCCAGAAACATTAAAGGAAATGAATAATAAATTTGGTTGCACAAAAATTAAAAACATTTGCACATGTAAATACATTGAAATGGTATTAAATATTGTTCTAAAATTGATTGTAGTAGTGGTTGCACAGATCTAAATACACTGAATATACTAAAAACTGGTGAATTGAATACTTTTAGTGGATGAATTGTATGGTATGGAAATTGTATCTCAATAAAACTGTTCTTTAAAAAGTTAAAAGACAAATTGTTGAGAGAAAATATTTACATTTATATCACACAAGAAATTTACTGCTTTATACTAGTATATAATGAGCTCCTTCTAATTCATTAGAAAAAGACAAAAAACAGGATAGTAAAACAAAGTAGATGAAAAGGCAACTCACATGAGAGGAAATAGAAAAAAACAATAAAAATATGAAAATATCTCCAAAACTGGTTTGGCTCAGTGAATAGAGCATTGGCCTATGGACTGAAGGGTCCGGGTTTCAATTGTGGTCAAGGACATGTACCTTGGTTGGGCACATCCCCAGTGGGTAGTGTGCAGGAGGCAGCTGATCGATGTTCCTCTCTCATGGATGTTCTAACTCTCTATCCCTCTCCCTTCCTCTCTGTAAAAAATCAATAAAATACATCTTTTTTAAAAAAGAATATGAAAAGATCAATAATCAGAGAAGCCCGAATGAATGCAAAAATGAAATGCCATCTTTTCCTTATCATACTGACAAAAAGTAAAAGGACTGGAAATACCCTGTATTGAGGAGAGTAGGGGAAAGTGGCTTTCAGGTGCTAATTGAAAGAGCTTAAAAGTACCAACTGCCTTTCTGAAGGGCAGTCAGGAAAAATCCATAAACAAAAAAAAAACACATACCCTTTAACCCAGCAATTACAGTTTTAGCAATATCTTATATCTCTTACATATGCAGTAATGAATTCAGGATTGTTCATTTATGAATTGTTTGTATTAGAAAAAATTAGGGCCAGCCAGCATAGCTCAGTGGTTGAGTGTCAACCTAGGAACCAGGAGTTCACAGTTCAATTCCTGATCAGGGCACATATCCAGTGTGGGGCATGCAGGAGGCAACCAATCAATGATTCCCAGTCAGGGCACATACCCAGCCCTAAATGTGCATATTAGACTTTTATTATATAGGATAATTGACATATAACATTGTATTAATTTAAGGTGTACAACATAATGATTTGATATATGTATATACTGTTTTATTACTAAAATAAAACTTTTAAATGTAATAATTTACACTCTCACAAACACACCTAATTAAAAATTATATAGCCACAGAAATGTTAAGATGGTAAATTAAAAATAATATAGCCATAGCAAACTGGAAGAAAATAAAAGTAAATATTAAATTATCTATAATAATAAAAGCATAACATGCTAATTAGACCAGACATCCTTCCAGACGAAGTTGGGGCTGCGAGAGAAGGTGCCAGGTGCCTGCGGGTGGCCAGAGGGAAGCCCGGGTCCAGGTGCCAGAGGGAAGCCAGTGCTGGCAGCTGGGGGAAGGAAGGCCTACTCTTGCGTGAATTTCATGCATTGGGCCTCTAGAATAATAATAATAAAAGCCTACTATGAACATTTATATGCATAAAACTTTTACATTTTATAGTGAGTTAATATATAGTGAGCCACTAGGGACCCTTCTCATGCATGAATTTTGTGCACTAGACCTCCAGTAAGTCAATACACTTGGAAAATTTTTATTTTATAATGAGTTAATTTTACCAACTCCATTCATTCCATAGGCAATAATTAAGCATTTTCTATGATAAACAATGACAAAAAGTTATCTAGTGGAAGATACAAACCATTCTAGGATTATGTGATAAATGTAGCGATAGAGGTACATTCACTCATTCATTCATCATATACTTTAGTGACGACGAGGCCCCCTATATTAAATAATCAACTAACTAGTCAAGATTTCTGTTTTTTAAAGAAAGATAGAACAGTGGAACAGAGGATACAGATAAATTCACTGTGTAATTTATTGATTTATTGTGTGATGATGGTCCCAGTAGAGAAAAGCATGAGCTGCCATGGGAACAGAGAGGAGATCCATCTAAATCAAATCAAACTGGCTCTTTTCCTTCCTGGCTGCCTGTGGCTCAACCACCACCATGAACAACACAGTAACTCTCTGGTCCAGGAAGTTTATGACCAACCTACTACTTCAACAGAAACTCACGGTTATTGACATCCTTCACCCTGAGAACGCAACAGTCCCTGAGACAGAAATTTTGGGGAAAACTAGCCAAAATGTACAAGACGACACCAGATATCATCTCTGTATTTGAATTCAGAACCCACTGTGGTGGTGGCAAGACAACTGGCTTTAGCATGATTAACAATTCCCTGGATCACACACACACACACACACACACACACACACAGTGAACCCACATACACTTGCAAGACATGGCCTGTATGAAAAGAAACAGACCTCAAGAAAACAGTGAAAGGGTCATAAGAACAGAATGAAGAAAGTCAGGGGTCTGCTAAGGCCAATGTTGGTGCAGCAAAATGTTGGAGATTGGACAACAGAGGAGTCAAGATTCTGCAGTGACCTTATCTGCAGTGATTGTGCAGATTTTTCATGAGAGGATTAATAAACTGTAAACACGTTTTTAAAATTTAAATAAATAAACTCAAACTGGGAGTCAGAAAGGCTTTCCAGAGGAAGTAAAGTTTTGAAAAACAGGTGGACATGAGCATTATCAACATTGGTTTTCATCACTTAATTTTACTTTTGATAATTTTATATCCTATCTAATAAAAAAGTAATATGCAAGTTGACCATCACTCCAACACACAAGGTGGCTGCCCCCAGGTGGTCATAGATGGCTGCCTCCAAGTGGACACAAGATGAACACCACAAGATGGCCTGCAAGGGAGGGCAGTTGTGGGATAGCAGAGGAGGGCAATTAGTGGTGACCAAGCTAGCAGAGGAGGGAAGTTGGGGGCGACTGGGCCTGCAGGGAAGGGCAGTTAGGGGTGATCAGACTGGCAGGGGAGCAGTTAGGCATCAATCAGGCTGGTAGGAGAGTGGTTAGGGGGTGATCAGGTTGGAGGGAGAAGTGATTAGGGGCAATTAGGAAGGCAGGAGGGCGAGCAGTTGTGAGCCAGCAGTCGTGGATTGTGAGAGGGATGTCCGACTGCCCTTTTAGGCCTGATCATACCGGAATTGGGCCTAAACGGGCAGTTGGACATCCATCGAGGGGTCCCAGATTGGAGAGGGTGCAGGCTGGGCTAAGGGGCACACCTCCCCCCCTACTGCCCTGTGCACGAATTTCATGCACCAGGTCTTTAGTTTTTTATGTTTAGTAATTTTGATAATTTTGGAACATTGTATTAATTTAAGGTGTATAACCTATTGATTATATATATATATATATATATATATATATATATATATATATATACTGCAAAATTATTACTAAAATAAAACTTAAATTTACACCTTCACATGCAGTAGAATACATCCTATGCAGCATGTACTAAGGCACAGAGATGTAAGTAAAATGTGTACAACTTACAAAAGGTGTTTGCTCTGGCCCTGGCTGGTGTGGCTTAGTTGGTTGGAGAGCATCATCCTATACACCAAAAGGTGGCCGGTTCGATTCCTGATCAGGGCATATACCTAGGTTGAGGGTGCAGTCCCAGTTTTCACGTAAAATTTACAATAGTAACATTTATTGAGCACTTACTATGTGTCCATCTCTATTGAAAGTGCTTAACATGTATTTAGTCCTCACATTAATGCAGTAGATACCATTAAATGTATTTTCTTATATAAGAGAAAGTCAGGTGCAGAAAATTAAATAACATTTTCTAGTCACACAGCTATACTTAAACGTAGGCAGTCTAACTCCAGATGCCAACCTATTAACTATTCTGCCTCTCCTTAGTATGTGATATTTCAAGTATAATATTTAAAACATTAAAAATTTTCAAGGTTATTTGGAGGCTATAGATTCTATACAATATTTATTTCTATTATTTATTCTTATCCCAGAATCATGCTGTTTAATTTGTGCTTTTTTTTTTTTTAATGTTTTCATATCTGAAAGTAGTCTATGCTTTCACTATTTTCTTCTTCAGATTTTTTTTTTTTTTGTAATCAGTGCCTATTTATTCTTCAAAGGAACTTTCACAATAATTTTGTTTAACTAAAATTTGGGATTAGATTAAAAGTGCATTAAATTTATAAATTAATTAGGTTAAAAGTGCATTAAATTTATAAATTAAATTGGAAAGTATTAAGTGTTTCCACCAAAAAAGTGCTATATAGTGCTTCATCTTCTTTCAAATTTAGCAATACAGTTTTATAATTTTCTTAAATTGGGTAACATTTAAGGTTATTCTTAGTATTACAATTTTTGTGAAAGTGTAATATCTTCTGTTTTCTAACTCTTTATTATTGGCATTTAGAAATGCTATTACTTGCATATAAGGTTGTTTTTTCCTGACATGTGAAATAAAGAAACGGCCACTCAAAAAATTATAACAATTAAAAAGAAAAAAGGCACATACTGTAGACAATACTTGCCAAACTATTCAGGAAAGATTTGAGTCAGTATGCAAGGCTCCAGAGAAAACACGGCATTGTTATCCACTGCTTATCTATGTCGTAGTTACACGTTCGGACTACGGTCCCCGATGCCTTTTGCATCTCATTCTTCCCCTCACAAGAGGATGGGACGTGTCGGTGGCTGTCCTAGGGCCACCTCCCTCCCACCCCGCTGCTCTCCAGGGCCCATCCCAAGCCTCACACTTCAGGCTTAATCATTGACAGGGCTTTGCAATCCCAGGCTTTTCCTGACGCGTTGATAAGACAGCCGGGGCAGTGTGAGCGGCTGAGGGAAGCCAGGCTGGCTGGGCGGCAGACTCCTCCGGGGAATGAATGGATTTGCTTCAGGGACTGATGACAGCAGCAGAGACACCATGCCCACCGGGGCGCTGCCGAGATCCGTCATGCTGTCAGCATGCATCCTCCTACAGACCGTGGCTCCTGGGTCCTCCGGAGACGGGACGGCTGTCTGGTCTAAAAACCCCAACTACAGCCCGGTAAACGAAACTCAGCTGTTCCTCTATGACACTTTCCCTGAAAACTTCTTCTGGGGCGTCGGGACCGGAGCGTTTCAAGTGGAAGGGAGCTGGGAGGCCGAAGGGAGAGGCCCCTCTATCTGGGACTCTTTCGCCCGGGCGCACCTGCGGGACGCCAGCGGGGCGAACAGCTCCAGCGACAGCTACATCTTTCTGGAGAAAGACCTGTCTGCCCTGGATTTTATAGGCGTTTCTTTCTATCAGTTCTCCATCTCCTGGCCCAGGCTCTTCCCCGATGGCATAGCAGCAGTGGCCAACGCAAAGGGTCTCCGGTACTACAACGCCCTCCTGGACGCCCTGGTGCTGAGGGACATCCAGCCTGTGGTCACTTTGTACCACTGGGACCTGCCCCTGGCGCTGCAGGAGAAATACGGGGGGTGGAAGAGCGAAGCTCTCATAGATATCTTCAACGACTATGCCACCTACTGCTTCCGGGCGTTTGGGGACCGTGTCAAGTACTGGATCACAATTCACAACCCCTATCTGGTTGCCTGGCACGGGTACGAGACAGGTATGCATGCCCCTGGAGAGAAAGGAAATTTGGCAGCTGTCTACGCCGTGGGACACAACCTGATCAAGGTACCGTACCGCTTGGCTTTCTGTCACAGCTTCCGAATAGAAGGAGCAAGGCGTTCGAAAGGAACCCCAAGAAATGTAGCATCTGTTTAAATAAGTCTCTTGGGTGCAGTCAAGTCAAGTGATTTTATTCTGACCCTCAAGGTCTGTCCTCAAATTTCATGTTTAAAGTGGTGTGATATTTTATGTAAGTTGTTACTACTGCATGAACCCAATTATTTTCCTTCAAAGTGCACTTTTTAAAAATTAACTGTTTTTAAGTCTACAATTATCCATGAGAGCGTGAGGCTATGAGTTTCCTTTCATTCTGTGGGAAATCAGTTGAATGGTTGGAAATCCTTTTCTGACAAGATGCAACCATTTCAAAATAATGCGAAGGCATGACCATTTCAAATATGTATTTGTTGTCACTATCGCTATTCTTGGTGGTACTTAGCTATAGTCAGCTAAATAAATGCTAGCTAACTGGTACGTGTTAAATGCAGGAATTGAAATAATGTAATTCATAGTTGGTTTTATTTGTGTTACATAGCAGGAAAGGTTAATTGTTCTAGGAGTTAAAATTAAACTAGTACTATCAAAACTGGAAGAATATGCTCTACTAAGCATTTTAAAGCTGTATAATTCAAAAGCTAGACTTCATGCTAGGAAATGTTAAAATGTTAAATAATAGTGAAACTCTAAGCAAAATAAATGAATAATCATTGAGTATTTAAAGGCTACTTTAAGCATTTTACTTGCATTATCACATTTAATCATCATGATAACCTTATGAATTATGACTGATTATTATCCCCATTTTAAAGATGAGAAAAACTGAAGCTTAGTGAGATTACATAGCTTGCCTAAGGTTACAGAGTAAAATGCATCTGTTGGAAACATGGGCTTTATAAATGACAACATAATTAAACACTAAATGTCTTTATTAAGAATGTTTTTAAAGGAACAATCTTTTGAAAAATGTCAGGAGATTTTGCCTCACATTGAGGCCAATATTTAGAATCAGGTATAACTTTTTAAGTCAACTAGTTTACCTGGAAAAAATAAATTATTCTGAATAACTGTTACATTTTGAAAATGAAAAAACTATTAGTGGGGTTTCATCATGTGGTAGGAGAAGTAATCTGATTTCTAATAATCAAATGTTAAATATATAGAAATAGGAAAAAATGTATAGGAACATAAAATCACACCATGTCTTAATTTGTACATACAAAAATATGTGAACTTTCTGGATTATTGTACTATGATTCAGTCACATCTTCCCTTGCAGTAAACAGATTGTATTATAATTTAAAGGTCATTTACATATCTTTGAGTAGAGTTGTATATAGAACATATTGATGCATGGGTATTCTGCGATTGGTATTCTGGGAAAAAGACATTAAAGGGGAAAAAACCTACAACTGTTAACTATGAAGAATATACATATTTAAGCTAGAAAAATATTTCTTTCATTTATTCTTTTAATTATTAAAACAATACATGCTGGTGTAAATTGAGAAACATCAGATTGTATCAAAAAGATATAAAGTGAAAAAGTTAAATTCCTCTCTCCCTCTCCATCTGACAACTCCAATCTTGAGGAAACTGCTGCTAACAGTTTCTGATCCGGTCTGTTAAAGTGTTCTATGCAATTACATGTACATATTTGGATATTTAATAATTCTTAGTATTTTAAATATTTTAAAAATTCTAAATTGTTGAAAAGTTTTCAGTTACCTGGGGAAATGTTAACAATTAGAAATTCCATTAAAAATATGTTTAAATGGCTAGTTTATTAAGCCTTAAAATGGGCTATCTGATTAAAAATACACAGGAAAAAGATGTAACTAACAAAAGATGTAACTAACAAGATATTGCTTCCAAACTTAGTATGTAAAATGCTATATTTTCAGATATAGTTTTCACTTTTCTCTAATGTGAGAAAATTAGCACTCTGGTAGAGATTTTATTGTTTTAAACTGAGGTGTTATATTTTTTAATTATTGTGTTTTCCAAGTAACTTCTTCCATCTCTTTACAATTTCTAAAGCACTAACCTACAGGGTCTCTTGGGTGGTGGGCAAACAAGGCCACATGCAGATCATGTATCATAGCGAGGTACACTTGAAATCTATATAGTTCTATCTATCAATGTCACCCCAATAATTTTAATTTTCAAAAAAAGTGAAATACACTGCATAACCCAGTGACTTCTGGCACTAGAGAGAAATCTGGCAGCAGTTTGGTAGCCTGAGGTGAACTTGTTTTTCTTTGCCTTTCTTTTAACATAGAGAAGATTAATTGGCTATTTTATGTTGCAATGGAGTGTTTCTTCCTTATTATGCCACCTTGTGACCCAAAAGAAGCATTCTTTAGGATTAGTTTTTTGTCCAAGAACATTTATTGAGTTTTGTGGGGGTTTTTTAAGCCTAATATAAACCTAAATTCATGGATGGTTATTATCACTCCATTCCCAATCCTCAGCTATTGAGAAGATTACATAGTGACTGTAAGGGTCTTTTAAGTTCCAGGATGATCCTGAAAACTCCATCTCCCTCTGAAATGTCCTGGTTGGGAGGAAACCTGAATTGTCTAGCCAGTCCCTGGAGACTGATCTGGACAGATCTGGTCATTACCTGGCTTAAGGCAAACCTAAGCCTCAGACAAAAGTTTGTCGTAATCACACCAATGGATGCTTCCTTCTGAATCCATAACCATGTTCAGAACAGACAGAACACGCCTTGATTGGCTTGGCCATCTTTAAGTACCGCAAACATAGCTTTAATCTATAATTTTTGCAACAATATTGCTAGGTATCTGTTATTATTCCCATTTTACAGAGTGATGCTTCTTAAAAATGTATCATGTCACTTCCCTGCATAAAATCCATCAAAACTTCTGGGATATAGTCCCAACTTTTCATCAAGATCTTCAAGACACAAACCCGGCCTCCATTCCAGGCTCCTTCCTGGACATTCCCCCACCCCCATCACTAATATTCTATTCAAATAAAATGCTTTTCTTACTCCCAGTTTTTCTGATAATGTCCTTCAAGACTCAATTTAGGCAGTTACCACCTCTAAGTTATTCTTGATCCTTTAGAGTCAGTTCCGCTCCTGAACATTCACATGATAAGATGTGCATTGAATTCATACCATATGGTGCTTTTTTGTTTCCCCAACTAGACTGAGAGTTCTTTGAAAGAAGATGCTATTTTTTGTCTTCATATTTCCCTCACCTTGCACATAATATTATATGCATGCTAGGTACATTGAATGAGTGGTTTAGGAATTTCTATCTTAAACTTGTAATCAAAGACCCAATCTCGCCAAAGCCGGTTTGGCTCAGTGGTAGAGCGTCGGTCTGCGGACTGAAAGGTCCCGGGTTCGATTCCGGTCAAGGGCATGTACCTTGGTTGCGGGCACATCCCCGGTGGGGGTGTGCAGGAGGCAGCTGGTCGATGTCTCTCTCTCATCGACGTTTCTAGCTCTCTATCTCTCTCCCTTTCTCTCTGTTAAAAATCAATAAAATATATTTAAAAAAAAAAAAGACCCAATCTCAGGTATAAAATACATATTTCATTGCATTATTGCTAATTCCTGAAATTGTCTGTATTAATCCAGTGGTGTATTAGTGTGGACTCTTCTGGTTGCAAATGACAGAAGCCTAATTCAAGTTGACTTAAGCAAAAATGAGCAACTTCCTGGCTCAGTGACCAAATCACAGGAACCAGGACACTCTCAGAAGCCCTTCATCTCGGTCTTCCGTGCCCATTTCTTCTTGTAGGTTGGCATCTTTCTACTTGGTAGAGGAAAGCTTTCTTTCTCCCAAGTTCAATTTTTATTTTTTTATGATAATTATTATTTTTAATATATTTTATTGATTTTTCACAGAGAAGAAGGGGAATAGAGAGTTAGAAACATCAATGAGAGAGAAACATCGACCAGCTGCCTCTTGCACACCCCCTACTGGGGATGTGCCCGCAACCAAGGTATATGTCCTTGACTGGAATCGAACCCGGGACCTTTCAGTCCGCAAGCTGACGCTCTCTCCACTGAGCCAAACCGGTTTCGGCCCTCGTTCAATTTTTAAAATTTCAACCTATGTGGCCTATGCTCTCATTCCTCAGATCAGCAGAGTCCCAAGGTTTCACATCAGTAAAGGCAGTACTTGTGCCTGTTTTTATTTTTATATCAATATACATGCATAATATGATTTAAGTCTGTAGATTTCTTCCCCACTAAAAATGGAATATTTGAGAACCTCTGAGAAAATATGCATACAGGTTGGGGAAGATGAGTTCGTTCATGAGATGGCAGCTGGTTCATTCAATTACTCCACTCAATACTGTCAGCTTCCATGATAGTCTTTACCATTTCACATCTCTAAATTATTATCTTTCATAACCATATTCTGCCTACTCCATTTTGGCACTATTGACATTTTGAGCCAGATAATGCTTTGTTGTGGTGGATTATCTTATGCATTGTAGGATATTTAGCAGCCTCTACCCACTAGATTTCAGTAGTATCCCTGTTGTCCAGAGTTTGTGACAACTGAAATGTCTCCAGACATTGCCAAATATACTCTGGGGGGAGGGTAAAATTCCTCTTTCTTCCCTCCCTTAAAAACAGCTGACGAAGTGGTTAAAGGCATGAAGCACAAAGAGCAAGGACATTGAAATATAACCAGTTCGAGGGACATAAAAAAGATAATTTATAAAATCACCTCAAGGAGATTTTCACCAGCTCTGTAAGTTGCACACAAACTCAAAATTAATTTACAGTATTATCAGGATGTTTCAGAAGAAGAAACAGAGCTTTAAGAAATGTTAAATGAGAAAATAATATTGATGATTATATCTAGTTTGACTTTTCACATATTGGAAATGAAGACTGGCTTTTAGTTATTTGTGAAATACTTGAAAGAGCTGGCCGAAACCATTGCTCTTACATACATAGTTGTTTATGAGCAAAACACTAAACCTACTTTTTGAAAGCTTGTACTTTTTTAAAAAGC